GGTTCTTGGGTACCTCTGCCTCCTGTCTGTATCACTCGAGTATCAAGGTCACCCAGGAAAGCTAAAAAGCAATCTCTTCCTTCCCTAACAACACGGCTCCACCTACTTAAATTTGCCTATCACCTTGAGAGGCTTCCTCTAGAGTCCTAAATGGGAATCTGGACAGAAATACCCCTTCCTTTGGTCTTCCCCTTATTTATCTCACACACACAATAATACCAGTCTATATTTAGATGAGGCTTAATATGTGCTTTGCAGGATTTAATTCTCACAACAACCCTGTGAGGAAGATGTACTGTTATCATTCACATCTAATTGGTGTGGGAACTGAGGCACAGAGAGGTTGAATGATTCACCCAGGATCACACAGCCCTGTGGGAAAGGGGGGAGCTGGTATGGGAACCTTAGTGGCCTGGCTGCAGAATCTGTGCTCTCAGACTGCGCTCTGCTGCTACCCTGCCTCCTCTGATCCCTTTGGCCTCCTCCCCTCATTCCTCCTTCTACTCCCACCCCCAAGCCAGAAAAAGGCGGGATGTTATTTCCCCCGTGGCATATGCTATCTCTACCATGAAGCTGGTTTATTTACCTTATAAAGGAGGGACTGGGTTCAGTTTGTTTTGAACGCTTTTCTTCTGCATTTCCAGAAAGAGACTGTGCGTTGATGTCAGCTGTGAGGCAATGTTTCACTTCTTCCGTTGTCCACTCCAGGGGAATTCAGGGAACTGCTGAGACTGGTTGGTGGCTGTCATCCAGCTCCGTATGGAGATCCTCAAGAGCCTCTCTCAGATATTAGCTCCACCCTCGGCATCGGCAGCGTGATTACTTCTGGCAACCACAAAGACGTTGGCCAGGGCTGGCCTCCCGCCCTCCCCCGTCCAGATCAGGAGCAGTGACCAAGGTAAGTACTCCATGTACCTGTGGCTGCACAGCATGGGGCTGCTGGCTGTGGTGGCTCCCCACTGGGGTCCACCTGTTGCTACAGGGAAAAGACCTTATCCTACTCTCTTCATCTGGCACCTCCGTGGGATCAGGGCTCCTTGCCAGTGTTCCCCATTGAGGCCCAAGGCCCCCCAAAAAGCCTTATCAATGAGCACGTGCACCTGGAGAATCTGCTGTTTCTCAGATACCTGGATCCTCCATCAAAACTTTTAAATACGTAGTTGAAGCCTTAGTGTGGTGTGGTTCTACTGAGCAATTAGCAGTAGCTTTAAGTGCAAAGACTGTAGCTTTGTAAAGCATTATCTTATGAAATGTGAAGTGCAATCTATTACATGCAGGTCTCTCCAGAAGTGATCATGTTCTGAAATATTTCATAGATTTCATTCTTTCAGTCATTTAACAAGTCTATTTTGAGGAGACTCTCTTCTCCCTCTTCATTTCCAAATAAATCTGTTTCCTACTGATTCCAAATCCTACATCAGTGGGTCCCCATCTGGTAGCCTAGGATTCTTATGTGTCCTCAAGGGCACCAAGGGAGGCTTTTCATCTATTTTCAGTATTTCCTACAGAAATTGTACTTTTATGATAAGGTTGTACTTACTAACTAAAAAAAATTGCTTTGCCTTCCACTGGAGTGGTAAATGACCCAAGTGGCATTTATGTGGATCAGAAAGTTTGATTAGCCCTCTTTAACTGAAATATATGGAAATTTAAATAATTTATTACATGATAAAAAAATTTGTTTGGAAGATGGAAACGTTCTAAGCGTGAGGTTCACATGGGCAAATGATGCTTGATGAAAAGAGAGGGCCCCACTGCTGCATTGTCACCATGGCTATGTCTACTGTCCCTTTGAGAGTTCACAATCTCATCCTCACTGTGAAAAATGTCTTTTGCACTTATTATGCAAATCTGTTTCAAGAGATGTCAAGGTGCAGTGGCCATGAGGTCCTAGATCATTCTAGAATCAAAGACTAGATAATAAAAACTGTCACCGCACTTTATCACTGACTGGGGCTATTGCAATTGGTAGTGTGTTCAGCAGATTCCCTGATCCCTCTCTTCCAGGAGACCCTCACCCTGGGAAGGCTGGGGGCCCTTATGGTGCAGCTGTGGTCCTGGGGAGCCATCGACACTGCATCAAGGTGAGCCCTTATACCTGAGATGACAGTGGCTGCTGCTGCTCCCATGTCTTTGCAGAGATAGGAGAATGAGGGCAACAGCTGCATAGTGTTGTTTCCTCATGGAAATTAATAAAAGAAATCTTAACTAAATTAGAATAGAGAAGGCCTATAGGGGGAGCTCTCAGGCCCTGTCATACACGGTCAATTACACCAAACAGGAAGAAAGGGATGCTTACATCTTGGACAGGAATAAAATTACTTTGTTACTGAAGGAAGATTTCTCTCCCCACCTGGCAACAGCCCTGCCAATGAGAAATACCCCAGCTCAGCCAATGAGAAGCCAGTTGCCACCTTGAACTGTTACTTTCCCCAATGGACTCTAGTTTAGAACAGCCCCTGCCCCACTCCTCCTTTTTCTCAATGAAGGCAGCTCCCCTCCTTCATTTGCTGGATTTGCCTACAGTTTGCCATAGCATGCACATCTCGAATTGCAATTCTTTTGGCCATTCCCAAATAAACTCGTTTTGAAGCTTTTCAAGTCAACATCCTTCTTTGTTCTTTCATAATGCTCAATAATTAGAACCCCAGTTTATTGAAAGACTTCAACAAACATGCTTTGCATGCTGCTCCCTGCAAGGCTCTGCTTTAAAATCAGGGACTACAGAAATGAAGGTCCTATCCCTGCCCTCAGGAAGCTCACAGCCTAATGGGAAATGAGGTCTGTATCCACCTAACTACCAACCATCCATGGAATCCTATATTAGTGGTTGGGATAAGATTAATGGGAACACACAGGAGGGAGTAAAACATCTAGGAGGGAAGGTGGTGACAGAAAGCTGGGAGGAGGTGACATTTGAACTGGCCCATTGAAAGATGAGAGGCGTTTTGCAAGAGCAGAAGAGGTGGGGATTCTGGCTTTACTCTGAAAGCATTTAAGAGGGGGAGAGGTGAGTTTCTGATGATGTCCCTTGATTAATCATTCCAAGTTTCTGGCTTCTTTTTCCAAGCCTGCAGATTCTTAAACATTCATGCCACTGATTTCACTTGTCTTACATCACTTTGTTTTCTAATGCAGTGGTTCTCAAAGTTTGGTGCCCAGACCAGTAACATCAGCATCACCTAGGACTTGCTTAGAAATGCATATCCTTGAGGCCAGCTCCGTGTCCCAGTGGTTAAGTTCAGCATGCTCCATTTCAGAGGCCCAGGTTCAGTTCCCCTGGTGTGGACCTATACCACTTGTCAGCCATGCTGTGGCAGTGACCCACATACAAAATAGGGAAATATTGGCACGGATGTTAGCTCAGGGCAAATCTTCCTCAAGCAAAAAGAGGAGGATTGGCAACAGATATTAGCTCAGGGCCAATCTTCCTCAGCAAAAAAAAAAAAAGAAAGAAAGAAATGCACATCTTTGTTACGGAACCAGGTTCGTTTTAGCCTGTCGCCCAGAAAACTAATCACCAAGATGATGCGATAGCAGCAGAGAGAGGGTTTTAATCACGAGGCTGCCAAGAGAGGAAGCCCAAGAACGAATCTCAAATCTGCCTTCTCCAAAATGGGCGCTCAGGGATATTTACGGGGTAGGAGGGCAAAGTGCTCTGAAATGTGGAGATAGATGATTGGAGGTGAGGAGAGGTGCGGTAACTGATGATCTGCACAAGCGTAGTCAAACTTCATGCCTCTTCATAAGACACATGTTTACAAAATGGCCACGACCTCATGATCTGAGGGGGGCAGTTTTAGCACCTTGATGTCAAAAAGATCACTTGTTGAGTATTTGCGCAGGCCCAGTTGATGGGCTGGTGGTCTCAACCAGCCTGAACTGGACAAGGGGTCCTAATTCCTGAAAAACAGCTCAAACATCCACCACCATGGTGACCCAGGTGTCAGGAAGATGTCATCTACAGCAACCTAGTGGGAGTCGGATAGCACATTGCCTGAGAAGCACAGCTAACATCGGGAGGGTGAACAACTGAAAGCTATAATTAGTAACTGCAAAAAGAACTTTAGTTACTAGCTACCTAATCCTCAGTGGCTAACTGTTTAGCGGTTTCATCCCGGGGCCCCAACCTGAACTGGAAACTCTGGGAATTTCACCTTGTAGGGGAGGACAGGAGAAAATCAAACCAAGCTTTATAACATGAGTACATGGGAGAGACCCAGGAAAACTGAGTGGCTCACCAGAATGGCTGAAGCTGCCAGTTTAAATATCATCTTCAGCTAAAGACAAAGGAGGATGTTGGGGGTAGTGGTTTGGGACTTCAAAGGGAAGGAAGGCAATTCACCTGGAGATGGACAAGCAAATGTTTGGTAGATAAGAATGGGCTTAGCAAGGACCCTCACAGTCTACCCATACCCAGAGTTATCTGTGGTGCTGGCCTGTCCTGGGGACAGGTCTTTTTATCTTAAATTCTTTTAGGCAGTTAGTGGGAAGGTCAAAGTTTCTTTCAGTCTTTTATTCTATCAAGGCAAAGAGACACATTTTGGGGTGGCCAATTTTGATCCCCCACAATCTGATACGGACTCAAGATTGAACAGCCACAGGTCTAACACAGAAGCTTCTGGGAGAAAATGCAGAGGCTAGGAATGATCTAGGTTGTTTCCAATCCTCCAGCCTGGGAAGGACTGGATGACCCGGGAAAGGGTCCGCCTTGGCCTCCGGGAGGTTTCTGTAGGGGTCGTGCGTCTGGAGTGGAAAGGCGCTCCCACAGGTGGCTGACCCAGGCTGATTTGTCTCCCCAAAGCGCACAGATTGGGAGCTTTAGCTAAGCATCCTCGGGGTTGCTTTGGGGTAAGGCTGGCCTCCTTAGTCATGCAGCTGAGCGTGCAGCCCTCCTGGGGTCAGCCGGCTGCGGCGCCCGGGACAGCGGCCGCTCCCGCCCCCGCGGGGAAGGGGGCGTGCTGCGCGGACTGGACCGCTCGGTCAGGTGACAGCGGGGACGCGGAAGGCCGGGCGCCCGGGAGGCGGCGCGAGCGCGCGGACGGACCGAGGGCGCGGGGACATGCGGCCCCCGGGGCGGCCCGCGCTGGCGCTCCCGCTCCCCCTGCTGCTGCTGCCGCTGCTGCCCGCGCCGCGCCCCGCCGCGCGCTTCCACCCCACCTGGGAGTCGCTGGACGCGCGCCCGCTGCCCGCCTGGTTCGACCAGGCCAAGGTCGGCATCTTCGTGCACTGGGGCGTGTTCTCCGTGCCCAGTTTCGGGAGCGAATGGTTCTGGTGAGCGCGCCCCTCTCCGTCTCCTCTGACCCCGCTTCTGTCCCCGGCCTCCAGCCACCCACCACCCAGCCCGTCGCCTGTGCCTCGTAGTTTTGGCCCCTGGTCAGTTTCGCCGCCGGCTGTGTGAGCCGGGTGGAGCATTTCCGGGAGTGAAGCGTGTAGTTGGCTGTGTAAGTGGTTCGTCCTGGAAGAACACTGAACTTTTCTTCTGTGTGACTGCGGTGGTTGTCAGACACTTAAGGCGGCTCTGGCTTCTCAGCGTCTTGATAGTGGCACGTATCAAGTTGTAGTTATCACACTGTAACCACTGAGTCACTAAAACGGCAGAAATTAATCGACTTGTGCGGGGTCATGTGATGGGCGCTGAAGCCTGGGCCTAAACTGTCCCAGGAGACCAGCCCCGATGTCCCCTGGCTGCTCTGCTGCTGTCTGCCAATTTTCAGTTGTCTTGCATGCAGTACAGTTAAAACATAAACTTATGGGTATGTGAAACGTCTGTTCATTTGAGCATGCATTGGCTTTTTTTTTTTTTTTTTTTTTTTTGGCGAGGAAGATCATCCCTGAGCTAACACCTGTTGCCAATCATCCTCTTTTTTGCTGAGGAAGATTGGCCCTGGGCTAGCATCCGTGCCCATCTTCTTCTACTTTATATGGGACCCTGACACAGCGTGGCTTGATGAGCTGTGCATGGGTCCACACCTGGATCCGAACCTGCGAACCCCAGGCCACCGAGGCAGAGCGTGCAAACTTAACCACTGTGCCACTGGCTGGCCCCTGCATTGGCTTTTTAATGTTAAAATGTTGCCATGTGAGGCTCTAGGAATTAAAAGAGGGTTCTAGAATGTTACCCTAAAAAATAAAACCCTAAATATTAATAGACTACTGTACGAAAGTGCTACACAAAAAAATTGCTCTTTAGGTTTTGCCTTGAGATCTCTGTAAAAATGTGCATGGTATCTCTTACAACTTTGAACTGTTTCACATACTTTTCCTGATTAAATATTTCAGGTATTCAGTTCTTCAAGATAGAAGTGTTATCAAATACGTATATATATGTTGATGCAAATAATTCATAATCAATCTATAAATCAAAATTGGGGTGAGTTTATTTTGAGCCAACCCTAAGGACCCAGGAGAGTACCTTCATAAAGGAAGGAAGCACTCCAAAGAAGCGGAGTGTACAGACGGGTTATACACCATCTTCGAACAAAGAACATACATCACATATGACAGGAATGTCCCTTTTACAATAGTCATGACGTTGCTTTGCTGGCACAGCAGGTGGGTGGTCACGAGGTGAGCACAGCAGGTTGGTAATTATCCTCAAGGGAACGCCAATATGGGGGAAGACGCATCCCCATCTTTAAGGGCATCATTGTGGTCTTTGGGACATTGTAAATGTTTAAAGCAGATGTCAATGCATGCTCAACAGGCCACATAAGACCTTTTGGAAAAACAAGATCAGGATGAATTAGTTTTAAACCAAATGACTTCCTCATATATTCCAATATATCCTATTGCTTGTCATTTATTCATCTCATATATATGTGTATATATATACATATATAATATGTATATTTATACACACATATATTTCTAAGTACAATAAGAAAATAAGCAATGAGTATTTGTACTTAAATCTACTTTATACTATATACATAGTGTACATCAAATTTAATATATACAATATATAGTACATACAATACAGAGTATAAACTATATATTGTATTAACATTATATTGTATACACTGTACCACTTTCTACAAAGAGATTGACTTTCTTATTAAGTTAGACCAGTTCATGTAAAAGAACTGTGTAAGCTATGGAGTACTAGTCATATACTCTTTTGAAATCAACTTGTAAAACAAGGGACTCTTTCTTTATCGTGTATTATCAAACATACTTTCTTCAGGATGTTATAAATCTTTATTTGCAAGTTTTGTGTTGTAAGGCATTTTGAGTTTGTTTTTGAAATGTTTCAGATTAGCTAGGTACGTAAATGAACAGATTTTCGTCTGTTTATATTAAGATATAATAAATTATACTTTGTTATTTTGTTCAACCATAAAGATTAGGTAAATATTCATTTGTGCTGGAAGAGGATTTGATGTTTGTTAATTGAGAGCCGTGCTCTGCCAAAAACAGCTAGTTTTGAGTCATTTTATTTGCAATGGTTAGCTTTTCATTTTCTACAAATGAACACAAGGTTGTGCTGTGACCTAGAACAATAAAGATACTTAAAACAAAAGAGAGAGCCAGCCCTAGTGCCCCTAAAGTTCAGTGCACTCCACTTTGGCAGCCCAGGTTTGGTTCCTGGGCATGGAACCATGCCACTCATCTGTCAGTAGCCATGCTGTGGTCGTGGCTCACACAGAAGAACTAGAAGGACCTACAACTAGAATATACAACTATGTACTGCAGCTTTGGGGAGGAAAAAAAAAAGAGAGGAAGATTGGCAACAGATGTTAGCTCTAGCCCAATCTTTAAAAAAAACCCAAAAAACAAAATAGAGTATATTTTTGATGGTCTGGAAGTGCATTAACCCTGTAGAAGATTCTTTAATTATCTATAGTTTCCCTTTGTGTCCCCTCTAAACCTCTGCTCCCCACCCCAGTTTGACTCAGGACAGATAACAGTAGAGATGATTATATCCAACTGTCCTTAATGGCAATTCAAAACCAAATAAAATGATGGGCTGTTTACTGTAAGTGCCTCTTTTCATTTCTATTAATATAAAATTTGAGAAGTGACTCTAGATCATAGTAGAGAATAAAAGTTCAAATAGACTATGGTAGGGGCCGGCCCCGTGGCGTAGCGGTTAAGTGCATGTGCTCTGCTGTGGCGGCCCAGGGTTCGCTGGTTCGGATGCCAGGCGTGCACCGACGCACCGCTTGTCAGGCCGTGCTGTGGCCTCGTGCCACATAAAGTGGAGGAAGATGGGCACAGATGTCAGCCCAAGGCCAGTCTTCCTAAGCAAAAAGAGGAGGATTGGCATGGATGTTAGCTCAGGGCTGAACTTCCTCACACACACACAAAACAAAATAATAGACTGTGGTAGGAGAAAATAAGAGAAATCCCTTATTCTATTCAACTTTCTGACTGTCCCCATTTCTTTTTTGTGGTTCAATTTAAAAGGTAAAAAAACATCATGGATCAATTAGGATTCACTTTAAGGTGTAGAAAACCCAAATAAAAGGCGTAATAATAGGGGCTTGTTATCATACACAACAAGAAATTTAAAGGTAGTTGGCTAATGATGAAATCAAAGACCTAGGCTCTTTCTGTCGTCCTCAGCCTATTGACTTGTCCCTTCATGGTTACATAATGGTGGCCAGGCATCACTTCACACAGCCTTGTCCAAAGGCAGGAAGGCCGGTTTCTTTTTTATTAGGGAGGATACTGTTTCCAGAATCTCCCAAGTTGGCTTCCCCCTTGGCCAGCTTGGGTCATGTGTCCATGTTGGAGCTGCGATGGAGGCTGGGAAAGTCCGTACCTGACTTTTGGGCAGGCAAACCATAGTGCCTGTGACATATGTCCTTCAGTGACGTCTTCTCAGCAGGAAGAACCTTCTCTTCATCTTTGGGAATGGAGTGCTGATTATGGATTTGCTCATCCTGTAGAAACACTCTTAGGAAAGAAGTGATGCAAAAAAGTGGAAGACAGGTCAGAGATGAGGCTTGTGTCTATTTCATGAGGATAGTTACGCTATGTTTCTCTAAAATGTATAATTATGTTTTAGATATGGCTTTCCTCATGAAGATTTGCTTAGGCAGTTTAGGCCCCATTGCTCAGAATAAATACAGATAACAAGTAATCCTTGAAGGTTGTGTCCATATATTAAAATAACAGCATCTTCTTAATTTTACTGTTGCCTTCTCCCCCACTTGTTCTCTGCTAATGAATATAATAGGTGCAGGCTATATTTTAGACATGTAGCCTTCCTTTTGAAGACTTCCTCACCTATATTACAAAGGACTAGCTATGTCAAGATACATACTACACGTTGCAATTTAAAAGTGAAGAATTAATGGTCCGTCCCGGTGGTGTAGTGGTTAAGTGCGCGCGCTCCCCTTCAGTGGCCTGGGGTTCGCAGGTTCAGATCCTGGGCACGCATTGATGCACCGCTTGTCAAGCCATTCTGTGGCGGTGGCCCATATAAAATAGAGGAAGATGGGCAAGGATTTAGCCCAGGGCCAATCTTCCTCAGCAAAGAGAGGAGGATTGGCATCAGATGTTAGCTCAGGGATAATCTTCCTCACAAATAAAATTAAATAAAAGTGAAGAATTAAGAGTGAATGGGTGGCTGGGTTGTCTAGAATGTTCTAGTGTATAAGCTGAGTGGATTTCGCAGAGGGATAAATGGAAAACGAGGGAAGTTTGGGTTTAAGCTTTCTTTAAGGCAAAGTCATACCAATGGGGAAGGGAGAAAGAGAATCTGGGTCACATTTGAGTAAGGGGAATTAGTAAAAGGAGCTGGAGCAATTATTTCAAATGTTCACGTGCTGTCTCCGTTTCTCTCCTTTAGGTGGTATTGGCAACAGGAAAAGATACCAAAGTTTGTGGATTTTATGAAAAATAATTACCCTCCTGATTTCAAATATGGCGATTTTGGACCACTATTTACAGCAAAATTTTTTAATGCAAGCCAGTGGGCAGATATTTTTCAGGCTTCTGGTGCCAAATACGTTGTCTTAACATCCAAACATCATGAAGGTAAGTAAGTGCAACATTTTCAAACCCTGATAATGGTTACGAAACATAAAGTAGTTTTTTTGGAGAAGACACTAAAGCAAGTTGATCCACCTGAAATCAGAGTGTTTTCTTGGGAGCAAACATAAGTGGCTACTGACATTTGCTTATAATTTAAGGGACCACGTGTTCCTCCCAATTAAGAAGAGAGAAAGATCATACCTTCCACACCACAGAGAAAAAATGAAAAATGATCACATTTTGTTATAGGCATCTTTAACAATATTTCCAAGATTTGATTAAAGTTATTTGAAGTGGGATGTGGGTTGCAGGTCAAACTTTATGATTGGAATTGTTCTCTTTCCTTTCATTCCACCTCTGTCATGCATTCTGGGAAGGCACCATGGGGGTTGTGCCACTGTAGTCTTGCGTCGTTACCAACATACCTGGCTGCGCTTTTGGCCAACTCTTAGATGGCCAAATGGTGGACAATTTGCTAGTGATGAAGGTGACACAGATCACCTGGAAGGAAAAGGATTATGGAACTGGAATGGTGCCCAGAAATATCAGAGATGGTGGAAGAATATCTAAAAGGAAACACAGTGGTCGTATTAGGGTTCTCCAGAGAAACAGAACCCATAGGAAGTAGAGTATATATAAAGAGGTTTATTATAAGAAATTGGCTCATGCAATTATGGAGGCTGAGAAGTCAGGAGAACCTATGGTGCAGGTCCAGTCTAAGTCCAAAGGCCTGAGAACCGGGAGAGTGGATGGTGTAGGTTCTAGTCTGAGTCCCAAGGCAGGAGAAGACCGATGTCTCAGCTCAAAGACAGGCAGAGAGAAAGAATTCTTTCTTACTCAGCCTTTTATTCTATTTAGGTCTTCAACAGATTGGATGAGGCCCACCCACATTGGGGAGGGCAGTCTGCTTGATGCAGTCTACCTAATCAAATGTTAATCTCATGTAGAAACACCCTTATGGACACACCCAGAAGAACGATTAACCAAATATCTGGGCACCTCATGGCCCAGTCAAGATGACACATAGAATTAACCATCACAGTGCTCGGACATGAATAGGATGGCTTGCACCCATTACCATTCCAGTACCTATAAGATCAAGAAGGCATCAACAAATTCTTATTGTTCCAAATTCACCTTAATTCACTGGACAGTTTTCTTTGTGTGACCATCTTTGCCTTGATATAAGAAACTTTGCCACATTATTTTCTCCAGGGATGAGGGGGAGAGCAGGGGTAGGGAGGGGAGTAGGAGGGAAGAATCAGAACCAAAAATCTGGAATTATCTTAGAATATTTTTCCCTTTGGCCACATTCTAGTGGCTTAATGATTTTCTCCTATAGATGTTTCTCCTGCTGAGATGGATATTTATAGTGTATTTGCGTGCGAACATGTGGATATCCTGATGTCTAGGAACTTCTCCAAGCTGGCACAAAGTATTACATAGTGAGCTTATTTAAAAAAAAAAAAACATAACAACTCTTAGTCATACTGTGAGGACAGATGATGTAGCCCACATTTATAAACTTTCCAGGACCCATGTTGTCTGATGTTTTCATTGCTTATGGAAAAGACCCCGTTGACCTCGGTTAGGCAGGAAGAACACTGTGAGCTTATAGGAGTGCTCTGAACCGAAGACCCATGTGATTTTGCGCTGCCTGACATTAGGGCCTGTCAAGTTGAAACATTTTGAATAGGACTAAATATCAACAGTGCTCTGAAGCTTACCACAAACATCTTTGGAACAAGCGTGAGCTGTTTTAAAAGCTTCTTAAAAAATGAATCTAAAGAGTGTGTCCACCTTAGACTTGTCCTAATTTACAAGAGTAAAGTGTTTCACCAAAAGCACCTTAAATATGTCTGTTCTCAAAGATTCTTTTGGATTTTGGTAGGACAGTCACAATATACAGTCATGCTCTGCACGACGACATTTCGGTCAATGATGGACCGCATATACGACGGCGGTCCCATAAAATTAGCACCATATAGCCTAGGTGTGTAGTAAGCTATACCATCTAGGTTAGTGTAAATATACTCTATGATGTTCGCACAACGACAAAATTGCCTAAGGATGCATGTCTCTGAACGTATCCCCGTCCTTAAGTGACGCACAAACTGTACTTATGTTCCTAGGCACTAACTAAAATTTTGAGGCTTTTATATTATTTCTTAAGTATTTCAGTTTATATATCACTTCTAATATCTTTATATAGAACAACCAGCAATCTAAATGCAAATTCCTTTTAAAATGAATTATTTCACGGCTGGCCCGGTGGCTTAGCGGTTAAGTGCGCGCGCTCCACTACTGGCGGCCTGGGTTCGGATCCCGGGCGCGCACCAACGCACCACTTCTCCGGCCATGCTGAGGCTGCGTCCCACATACAGCAACTAGAAGGATGTGCAGCTATGACATACAACTATCCACTGGGGCTTTGGGGAAGGAAAAAAAAAAGGAGGAGGATTGGCAATAGACGTTAGCTCAGAGCCGGTCTTCCTCAGCAAAAAGAGGATTAGCACGGTTGTTAGCTCAGGGCTGATCTCCCTCACACACACACACACAAAAGAATAAAATGAATTATTTCAAAGTGGTTGTATAATGGCAGACATTTTTCTTACCCATTTAATTGGTAGATAATTCACTTTTAGGTAATTTAAAGAGCAACATCCAAGCTTATGACAGTAGAGTAGGGTGAGATTACAAATGGTGGGTGTATTTTAAAGTACAGAACCTCTAGGGAATAGTGCCCTTCCCCCCTGGTTAAATGAATAGTGAGGCTAAAGGAGATTTCCTACTATACATGGATCGCCAGTGTTCTAAAAATTACACTCTAATAAAATAAGTAATCCTAAAACCAAGGACTGTACTGTAATCTTAGCTGTGATCTGCTAATGTTGATTGTCGATTTTGTGCTAGACTCTGCACTAGCAGTTGGGTGGGGATATAGCAGAGACCTCTGCAGACGTGATGCTGTCCCTCAAGGAGCTTATAGTCTCAGAAGGAAATAGGAGATAGATCGGACTATACAGACCTTATGGGTACCTTGCGAGTTACTTTTAAAAATCTTGGTTCCACCTTGTTTAAATTCTCATTTGCTTCTCCTATCAAAGCGGAATATATACCATGAAGACGACTGTCATAAAGCAGTTGTGTGTAGCAGCAATTATCATGTGTACTCTCTGATTTGTGTTGGTGTTTGCATAGGTGGAAACTGACTAGAATAAAATTGACATGCTTACATGGTTTTTCATATGATGGCACAGGCTTTACCCTGTGGGGCTCGGAGTATTCGTGGAACTGGAATGCTGTAGACGAGGGGCCTAAGAGGGACATCGTCAAGGAACTAGAGTTGGCTGTTAGGAACAGGACTAACCTGCGTTTTGGACTCTACTATTCCCTTTTTGAATGGTTTCACCCACTCTTCCTGAAGGATAAATTCAGTTCATTCCACAAGCGACAATTTCCAGTTTCTAAGACCCTGCCTGAGCTCTACGAGTTAGTGAATGAGTATCGGCCCGAGGTCGTGTGGTCGGATGGCGATGGAGGGGCCCCAGATGCCTACTGGAACAGCACGGGCTTCTTAGCCTGGTTGTATAATGAAAGGTGTGTGCGCTATTCCATTGCTGGGGTAACCTTACACGTTCCTAATACATGTGTAACATTTTAATTCCCTTGCTTCTTGAAAGATTTCCCTTCAGGCTCATTTGTGGTATGGGGGAGGCAATTATTATAAATCATGCTTATTAGATATATCAATATTTACTCACAATAATCAAGTTACAAATCAGTATTCAAATACAACTCAATAGTCTGATTTTAAAATCAGACTAAAAATCACGGAATCAAGGACTTTGAAGACGTTAATTTTGTGGGTCCCCCATTTTCATTTCCTATTTGGGGACCACTCTGTTTTTTCATCACTGTTTCTGATTACGTGCTTTTCAATTCCTCTAACTGCTTCTTTTTATCCTCTGACCCTTTGATAATCTTTGCTGCTCAGTCATGTCACCCTTGTCTGTCTTTCCTTCACGGTCAGCATTCTTAGCTCTTCCTGTTTTTTCCTATTGCTTTCTAGCATGTTCCAGGTTGCCCCATTAGAACAGGGAGTTCTGACTGAGCTCCTCTCTTAGGCTTCAACTGTATGGACCAAATTTACATTTGGAACTAGAAGGTACTCGGTTTTGTGCTATGAAGTCGGGGCATTCTGCTTGTGTTCCCTGGGCCCACAGAGGGCACACATACAAATATGGTCATGAACCACATGATGATGTTTCAGTCAACGACAGACCCTGTAGATGATGGCGGTCCCATAAGATTAGTACCATATAGCCTAGGTGTGTAGTAGGCTATACCATCTAGGTTTCCGTAAGTACACTCTGTGATGTTCGTACAATGACGACATCACCTAAGGATGCATTCCTCAGAACATGTCCCTGTGATTAAGCAACACATGACTGTACTCTGGAGAGCTCTTTTTTTTTTTTTTTTGGTGAGGAAGATTAGCCCTGAGCTAACATCTGTTGCCAACCCTCCTCTTTTTGCTGAGGAAGACTGGCCCTGGGCTAACATCCGTGCCCATCTTCCTCTACTTTATATGGGACGCCGCCTCAGCATGGCTTGATAAATATTGTGTAGGTCCTCGCCAGGGATCCGTACCTGTGAACTTCGGGCCGCTGAAGCACAAAGCACAAACTTAACCACTACACCACCGGGGCTGCCCCTGGAGAGCTCTTGATACTTAAAACAGCAGCTTCTCCAGGTACTCCTTCCAACGGGAAAGACTGGGAGCCGTCCACTTCAATTTGTGAATCAAAACTGTCCCCTCTAAGTGGAGAGGGGCAGGAGGTGCCACCTGCTGTGATAAATAATGTTGTGGGGATATTTCAAGCCACAGTGAATTAATTCCATGATGACAGCAGTCGACTTGGCTGAGATTATTCTATATTAGGCACAACTGTAAGGGAAAGAGAAAGGCTAGAATATGTCTGAGATTATTCAGTCATGGGCGAGAAAAATGTCTTGAGTGTACATTCAGTTTTGGCTGTCACTCACAATATGGGGAGAAGCTTCAAATAACAGTATAATACTCTTCTAAGTGCTATCTGTGCTGGGCACTGGGCTGGGTGTTTTACATAAATTATTTCTGTTCTAATAATAGATGAGGAAATTGGTTATTCAGAGGAGTTAGGTCACTTGCTCTAGGACAGGGAGCTTAGAAAGTGACAGAGCCACAACTGCAATCATCCTGGGTCTATTTGATGTGAAAACCATGGGCTTTGCGTTACATTCTGCTATGGTTATTTTTCAGCAGCGGATTTCAGTCAGACCTCTTTTCAGTCAGACCTCTTCAGTCAGACCTGTCAAATGTTTTTTGACATTTCGTTTTACGTCAAACAAGTCTTACTTTCTGTTTAAAAAAATTATACTTTTGGGGCCGGCCCCATGGCATAGTGGTTAAGTGCTTGCGCTCCGCTGCTGGTGGCCCAGGTTCGGATCCCGGGCACGCACTGATGCACCGCTTGTCAGGCCATGCTGTCCCATATAAAGTGGAGGAAGATGGGCATGAATGTTAGCCCAGGGCCAGTCTTCCTCAGCAAAAAAAAGAGGAGGATTGGCATGGATGTTAGCTCAGGGCTGATCTTCCTCATAAAAAAAAAAAAAATTATACTTTTCATTTCAGCCCTGTTCGGGACACAGTCGTCACCAATGACCGCTGGGGAGCTGGTACCATCTGTAAGCACGGTGGCTACTATACCTGCAGTGACCGTTACAACCCAGGACATCTTTTGCCACATAAATGGGAAAACTGTATGACAATAGACAAGTTTTCCTGGGGCTACAGGAGGGATGCTGGGATCAGTGACTATTTTACCATCGAAGAATTGGTGAAGGTACGTAAAATGCCTTGTGACCATTGTGGTAACATTCTTAATAGTGTACGTGTGTGAGAATTATTTGTTATAATGTATATAGCTCAGTGGCCTGTGAACACGGGACATTATTCTATCGTCTATGTTGGTTCTCCTGGATAGTGACTATATATGCGTGTATAAGTCCATAAATACGACGTATTAACACATTCACGATGGAATTGTTTTCTCTCTCTAAAAACTATATAGCAACTTGTAGAAACAGTTTCATGTGGAGGAAATCTTTTGATGAATATTGGGCCCACACGAGATGGCACCATTTCTGCAGTTTTTGAGGAGCGATTAAGGCAAATGGGGACCTGGCTAAAGGTGAATGGAGAGGCCATTTATGAAACCCACACTTGGAGATCCCAGAATGACACTATCACCCCGGATGTGTGGTAAGTTATTCTTGTCACCAAGTACTGTTTCACAGGGGAAGGTGTTCAGAATTTCTCACAGATATAAAGAGAAAAGTAGGATAAAAATGAAATTGGATGAATGCCTACCTCTATAAAACACTTTCCAAACTTTATTTACTGTAAAGAGAGGGAAGGGGAAGAGACTCATGTGGTTTTGAACACTTATTGTTTATCCAGTTGAGCTTAAATCATCTCTAGATGCCTCCTAATGGCAGACAAATTTTAGTGAAAAGTAGTCAGCTCTTATAAAAATTGTAAGCCATTGAGAAACATGAAAAATGCTGAGTGGTTAATTCAAAAGAGAGACTTCTGTTTAGTCAGTTAAGTAAGTTTTAACTTTTGCCCATGTTACATCACATCAAATTACCAGAGAAGAGGTGCCGAAGGGCAGAAAAAAATATTAAAAATGAGCCCAAATAATGGCATTAATTAATTGATTAAAAAATTTGTAACTTCTTCATATGATTCAAATAAACTAAACCTGAAGTTTCTTTAAAATTAGCTTGCTAATTTCTTTTCTAACTAGAATCTTCTTTAAAAGCCTTGTCTCAGGCTTCTGTCTGAGCTGTGAAAGGTTCCGTGTGCCAATGAGCATCTGAACCAAACTGCAGATATGATGGTTTCTGATGTGGGGTCTCAACATACATAAATAAGAGGATTATGAGTGAAACTCGAGAAATTCACCTTCTGTGGCCACCAATATGAGTACAGCCTGCTCAAGTATCAATCAAGAGGTTGGACTGAAGGTTGTTCTTTGATCTTACTTGACTTATAACTTGAAAATTGTCCGCTCATTGAAGAAAATAAAGTAAAGCAATCTAGACAGAAGCAACTAGTTGAAGAATTTCAGAATGTTGGGTCTGGGAGAAGCCATGATGAGAACCCAGCCCCAATCCTTCATTTCACAGAGGCTAGTTTAAATCTGGTTTCGGAATTTGCTTCCTGGTTTATATGTGACTATGAGGGTGTCTGATTTCATAATCACTGCAAAATGATGAGGGACCTCTCAATCATTAACTGTTATTCCATGAAGTTTTCTTTCAGTAAGTAAAGATAAAAGCCAAGATACTGAAGTGATTTTTTTTTTTTTTTTGGTGAGGAAGATTAGCCTTGAGCTAACATCTGTTGCCAATCCTCCTCTTTTTGCTGAGGAAGACTGGCCCTGGGCTACCATCTTCCTCTGCTTTATATATGGGACGCTGCCACAGCATGGCTTGATAAGTGGTGCGTAGGTTGGTGCCCGGGATCCGAACCCAAGAACCCTGGGCCGCCGAAGCAGGGCGCTCGAACTTAACCACTACGCCACTGGCCTGGCCCCCAGATACTTAAGTGATTTAAATGTCCGTATTCACAGTTCTTCTAATTCGCTGGCCCCTCAGTTCCCGTCCCTCCTCTCTTCTGGGCATCTCATCCACTCTGCTTCGCTGCCCTCTTTCTTGGTCATAACCTTAGACTTTGCCTCACCAATAAAGGCACCTCTTCCATGATCTCAATCTGAAGCATTCTGCCGTCTAACCACCACCTCTTCTATTTCAGCTCACTCCACACAGCACTTCAGCCTCTGCTGCGATCTGTAATCCACTGATCACACCATCTTTGTTCCTATCACTCTGTCTCTCCCTGAGCCCTCTCATGTCTTCCTCTTCTTTATCCAGGTCAGATTCTGTAGCCTGTCACTCCATTGCATACGCCCTCTCCCTCTGTCGTACTCACAGGACTTTGATTAAAACCTTAACTTTGATGAAATTCAGCTCTACTGGGGCTGGCCCAGCGGTGTAGTGGTTGAGTTCACGTGCTCCGCTTCACCGGCCCAGGGTTCGCTGGTTCGGATCCTGGGCGCAGACCTACGCACCGCTCATCAAGCCATGCTGAGGCGGCGTCCCACGTAGAACTAGAAGGACCTACAACTAGGATACACAACTATGTACTGGGGCTTTGGGGAGAAAAAAGAAAAAGAGGAAGATTGATAACAGATGTTAGCTCAGGGCCAATCTTCCTCAAAAAAAAAAAAAAAGACTTGGTCTTTAGTGCTTTAAATAAAAAAAGTTCAGCTCTACTTTATTTCATGCCTGCCCCTGGGCAGCTAAATGTGACTAGAAATACACACATACACACACACACACACAATGTCAAATGATCTCACTTTTGGCGGTCAAGGCCAACCCCTGTGTCCTGGATCCCATCCCAATATCCACCCGAGGATATCGTTCTAGCAATTCTCTCCTTTTGCTCCTCATCTTCAATTTTCCCTCTTTATTAGATCCTTTCCCATCAGCATGCAAACATGGTATTTCTTGCATCTTAAAGCAAGTACTCTTTCCATCCTAACTTTGATTTCCAGCCACCTTCCCACTTCTCTCCTTTCCTTTATAGTCAGACATGTTGAAAGATTTGTTTTTACTTGCTATCTCCAATTTCCTGCTGTGGTTTTTCTCTTGAACCCCCTCTGGTCAGGCGTCCGCGCCACACTCCACAAAGTCCACTATCGAGGCCCACAGTAACCTCTCCCTCGCCAAGCCCAGGGTCAGTTCCCAGCCCGTTGTCTGAGCTTTCGGCGGCATCAGCCCCAGTTGATCGCTGTCTCTCTCTGTCTTCACTGTGCCTGTTGGCTGCCCTCCTGTTTCCTTTGCTGGTTCCACTCCAGGTTCCCAACCACTAAACCCTGAAGTGCCCAGAGGCTTAGTCCTTGGAGTTCTATTCTCCGTTTACCTTACTTCCCTAGGTGATCTCGTCCATTTTCATGGCTTCAGATGCCATACTGATGACCTCTAGGGTGCAGACCTCTTTTCTTGAACTCCAGACTCCTATGTTCAGCTTCCTAGTCAACATCTCCACTTGGAAGTATAAGCGTCTTAAACCTGTTGTGTTCAAAACTTAGGTCCTAATTTTTAAATTTTGCTCTAAAAATTAGCTCCACCCACAGTCTTCCCCATCCTCACTTAACCGCAGATTCATCCTTTCAGGGGGTTGTCAGGCCAAAGACCTTGGGTCCTTCACTCCCCTCTCGTTTCCATCCCACAGCCAATCCATCAGCAAATAACATCTTTATCTTTGAAATATATCCAGAATCTGACCACTTCTCATCCTCTCTCTGGCAACCCTCATCCTTTTAGTCTCCATGGTCTCTCCCCTGGATTGTTTCAGTAGCTTCTTGACTGTTGTGTTTCCATCCTTGACCCTTTAATCCCTCTGTCCCAAAACCTTTGAAATAATAAGTCAGGTTATGGCACTCCCAGGCTCACATTTTTCCAGTGGCTTCCAGTCTTAGAGAAAAGGCCAGGCCTTATAGATGCTTACAAGGTCCCCTAAAAACTGGCTCCTTGTTGTCTCTGTGATCTCGTCTGCTCTCCTGCTCTCCCTCACTTTCTTTCTCTGCCCTCCATGCTGGTGTATCAGCAGGCCAAGCACACTCTTGCGTTGGGACATCTGTGCCTGTGGTTCTCTCTTGCTCCAGATACCCAGGTGGCTCTCCCTCACATTCTTCAGGTCTCCTCAAAGAGGTCTTCCCTGACTGTTCTATTTAAAATAAAACCAGGTCCCTCCTTTCAATCTAGCATGTTCTCTCTCCTCCTTACCTGGCTTCAGTTTTCTCCATAGCACGTCATCAGCACCTGACATATATTTATTTGCTCATTCTAATTTCTCCCACTGCAGTGTGAGCTCCATGCGGACAGGGACTGTGTTCAATACTACATCTCCAGCTCTAACACGGGGATTCGCATTTCAAGACTTCAATAAATATTTGTCAAATAATTGAGTGAAAATGAACGAATTCTGTTTTCTTTGTCTACAGCTTACTCTTATCTTTTTTTCTCATTCATCCTTTAAGTCTCAGATTAAATGTCATTTTCTTGGAGAGGCATCTTGTTGATGTCTACTCTAAAGAGATCCCTTTGTTATAATGTCTCAATTTCCTTTTCTTTCATAGTGCTTAGCAAAGTCACACTTTATATTATTTGTGTGATTTTTGAATGTCTGTCTTCCTCACTCTAGTCTAAGCTCCCTAAGAATAAGAACTAAGTGTGCTTGTTTTCTGTCGTATCCCTAACACTGAGCATGGTACTCAGCCCAGCGTTGACATACAGATCTGTGGAATGAAGGAATATGAAGATTTGAATCCGCAGGTGGAAAGCCAGCTACTCTTGATTCTTACCCTCTTCGCTCAATTCCTCTGCCTATTTCCAGCTCCATGAGAACAGTTTGGTGAAGAGTAGTACTAGAAAAATCTTTGTTCCAAGAACTTCCTTTTAGTTTTGGGGAAGTAGGGGAGGGAGGTGCTGTGATATTGTGATTTATAATAAGAAATATATATTTGGTCTTCAACCCTGTTTCTGGCACAGAGCTCTTAAAACTCTTAGAATTTCTTAAGAGATGAGAGCCATAAAGGTGTCTTTTGTTATGTTAATGAGGTGACTTGTGGACCCCACCTAAGGATGGGGCTGGTTGCCAGGAGTCTCAACCATGTGATTAGAAGGTTGGAACTTTCAGTCCCACCCTCAACCTCCAGGGTGATGAGAAGGGCTGGAGGTTGAACCAATCTTCAATGGCCAATGATTTAATTTATCAGACCTATGTAATGAAGCCTCCATAAAACCCCAAAAGGACGGGGTTTGGAGTGGAGGTGCTGGGAGAGTGCCATGCCCGACAGGCCATGGAAGCTCCATGCCCTTCCCACACACCTTGCAAGTAAAATGCTTCTGTGGGTTTTGTGAGCCACTCTGGCAAATTAGTCAAACCCAAGAGGGATTCTCCCATCTAGAGCCCGTGGGTCAGAAGCCCAGGTGACAACCTGGACTTGTGTGATTGGCGTCTGAATTAGGGGGGGCAGTCTTGTAGGACTGAACCCTCAACTTGTGGAATCTGACACCATGTCTGGGTACGTAGTGTCAGAATTGACTTGAATTATAGGACACTGAGCTGGTGTCTGAGAATTGCTTGGTGGTATGGGGAAATCCTCCCCTTAACACACATTGGAATTGGGATTAGAACCCTTTTAGGTGCTTTTTATGCTACCATGGGACTATTTTTCCTTCCCTCTATTAAAGAAGCCATTGGTAAATATTTACTAAATGGAAGTATCTCTATAAAATAATTCCAGACCTGACCCATAATGAGAAATATTACTGTACTTTTTTTCCCTTTTAACCAGGTACACATCCAAACCTAAAGAAAACTTGGTCTATGCCATGTTTCTCAAATGGCCCACATCCAGACAGCTGTTTCTTGGCCAACCCAAAGCTACTCTGGGGGCAACAGAGGTAAGAGGGGATCTTATCTTTATTGTTCCTTTAAATTGCTAACTAGTATATCCTGATGAAAACATAACTTTTAACTTCAAGGAGAGCCTTATATGTGCTCCTCTTATACCTCATAGGAATAATTTTAACGTTTGGCCAAAATTTTTGAAAATTTTCTTTTATTTCCCAGAAAACTAAACTTATAAAACAGCTGCATTATCTCCATGAATATCAGTGTAAAACAGATATTATCCTTCACAGTCATTCTATGTTGTTCACGTTCACTGCATGCATCCAAAATGATTCTTTTCATAAAACTGGAATCTAGATTCTTTCCTTGACATCCAACCCCAGAACACATAAAAAAATTTGGAGAAAGTGAAAGGTTATCTAACACTTGTAACCATCAGATCCGGCATTGAGTTTCTTTTGACATATTCTATAGCTTATTTTTAAGAAATTGTCCATTTCCTTGGATGTGAATTTTCCATATGCTTTTCCTTGTATCATCTTTCCATATTTCATTTCTAACACTGTGGTTGATCAGGCAGAAAAGAAGATGGAGTTTAATTCCAGCTTAGTGGCCTGGGTATGACATTATCTTTTTATTTTATCTAGGTTCTCTTTGGCCCCATTAATATTGTTACTTAAAAGTTCATTATTTTTTATTTTTTTGTGAGGAAGATCAGCCCTGAGCTAACATCCATGCCAATCCTCCTCTTTTTGCTGAGGAAGACCGGCTCTGAGCTAACATCTATTGCCAATCCT